GAGCACCAATCAATCAACTTAAGAGTCCAAAATATTTTATTGTTGATAACAATCTGACAACAAGTAGCCAACGGGTTATAGGGGCCAACAAATCCCCCCTTCATCAGGACTTAAACAAAATAGCTTTAATTCTTACTGGACTCCCATCTACAAGCGCCTGAGGGACACTGAATTCTCTGTCCTAAGTTCGAAAAAAATCGATCTCAAGGGACATGTGACGAGAGGATACTGGGCCTCCATAACATGAGATGCCTTTTTTTCCCACTCCGGACAGAGAATTAAAAAATTCAATTAGTTCTGTATCGTTAATCTTTTTGTCAGATCGTTAACAATAAAAGATTGTATAGTCTTAAGTTAATGGTCTGGTGCTTGTTTTAATATAATCTACGCAACATTTTATTCTTAACTTGTAAAAGTCAGAGCAGTCTGGAGAAAACATGGGAGTGTCCAGCAGAAAGTGAAGAATGGTTATAAATATGTCCTCTAGTGCCTTGGTTCTCAACTGGTGGGTCGCAAACCCCATGTTCAGTGGAAGTCCATGGTCCCATCGCACTCCTGACCGCCAAATCCCTTTGAAAAGCAGGTGCTGCGGTAGTCAACGGGTGGCATCGTTTATAATAACAAGTAAAGATAAATGCTTTTGCCTGAGGAAGGGGATCCTCTGTGACCCCGAAACGTTCGTTGCTATTTACTATGCTGCACGTCAATAATTAGACGTTTGCTTATGAATTTGGAGTGCTGGTGTCTTTATCTTTACCCGTGTTCAGTAGGTCGTTTCATGCCTTCCACATTTCTAGGTGAGAAACTCCCCAGCCTCCCCCTTGCACAGCACTGTCCATTCTCACACTGGAGCAGCCATTCAAAATATGCTACCCGGCTCCGAGTGTTGACGCGAGGGAGCTCCATCCATACGTGCAATGCTTATAGCTCGCATGTCCTGTAGAGGTGCCTGGACCGGAGTGACATCACATTCTGGCTCCCGACACCTCTACAGGGTGCGAATGGGAGCTGCACAAGCAATGAATATATGGATGGAGCTCCATCACAGCACAGCAGTCCACACTGCTGTGCATTCCATTGCAGTGCGACTTAATGACGAGGACAAATGTGGGTCCTGAGGTTACACAGGTTGAGAACCACTGCATATACAGGGTGCCGCTGGAAGAGGAAGCATAGTTGAGCCAGTTGCCCAGGAAATAGATAAGGGGTACAACATCACACTTAGAAAATAAAATGCTGGCCACAATAGAAGCATGGTATCTACCATTGCCGACCTTCTTTGGCAAAAATGCAGAGATGTCTAGTACACATAGGTGTTTGTGTTGCCAGTTTTTGCTAATCTCAGAATTAAAGTGAGGATGCCTCCATTGCCTCCGTTGAGTGCTATATGCTGATAAGCCAACATATAGCATACCATGAAAAAGCTTAGCTCTGCGCTTTGAGGACCACTGCTCACCATAGACTGCAGTATTTTAGATAAAGTTCACATACAGTTAAAAACATAGCAGTGTGAGCCTTAGAACATCATAAGTTGTAACTTGGGTAGTGACTGCTTTAAAAGGTCCTCATTCAGCCACTCTTGTTCTTTCTGCCTTAGCCAATAGAATCATCATCGTCATCATTTGGTATTATAAAAGAACTTTATGATCCATTTTTACATCAGGTGAGGGATGGGTGTATGGTAGGTGGCGTGATGCCTTCGTTTACATCCCAAGGAGCACAGCTCTTCCCTCAAAACTAAAGTGGGCTAGCCCAGTGATGAACATACTGCCAGTGTATTCTGTACTATTGTCCAGAGATCCAAAACGCACAAAGGACTTAGCAGGAGGTAGGGAGAGTCACAGGTGGTACCAGAAGACCAAGATGATGGACAGTCCTCCTTCATTTCTGATAATCTGAGGGATCAGTCACATCTAGTGGTTTATTTTGTCTGGCAGTATCACACAATGTAAAGGGATGAGGGTTTCCAATGTATTCTCTGTAATATATTCAGGACCATTTTTTTTTCCACTGCATGTCATTTGTCCATATAGAGGCTTTACTGGGCCTCCTCTGGTGTTCCTTTTAGGCCTGGTTCATACCTGCACGCTGTAAAACGCTCAACATGTGAAAACCAATAATTGGTATGGGCATGGTTGCCACCTGGGCGTATTTCAGTGCGTAGGAACGTGCTGAAAAAACGCCCTACGCCCAAAGAAGTACAGGAGCTTCTTTGGGGCGTATTTTCCGCGCGTATCCATTAGGATACAGCTGGATAGCCCTCGTAAACGCGCGTTTCTTTTACCGCAAATCGCTGTAAAAACGCACATATTCCGTACGCCCAGGTGTGAACCCAGCATTACAGAACATACATGAATGTACCAACTGTAAACAGGGGTGTACTGTTTTGCTCCTTATGGCAGAATTGATACCTTCCTGATGTTTGTACATAACAATTACTCTGGTCCATGTAAATGAATTGAAGAAATATTTTTGTAAAATATTTACTAATCCATTAATAGTGACATTATTGGGTGGCAGCTTCCACTGACTTATTAAAATACCACTAGATGGATTCTTGAAAATTCATTCAAAAAAGACAAGATAAAGTCTATAAAATGAGAGAAGCCAGAATGAATGTCTGGCTTGATGCCTCCTTGGACTTGCTCAGCACTCCATTAAAAGCATTCAGTGTCTCACTAGGAGGACAATGGCAACACATCAGTTATAATAAAAAGCCATAACTGGACAGACTGCAGGTGCAGAAACTGACAGACGCTGCAGATCCTGGCATGCATCCGAAGCCTTTCAAGTGATCATATGTTTCAGTGGTCACATTGAACAGATCTTTCTTCGTGAGAAGTGCTAGTGTAGGCAGCACGTGGCCAGGTGTACGCCCGTCAGACAGCAATGCCAACCAGATTAATGGTTGCTGCAGAGCAGGCAATTTTCAGCTGACACATACTGCTATTTTGGGCTAGATTGCTGCTTCTGTAAGTTCGCGTTACCTTAAGCCTCCATAGTTCATCTCTTACTTCTGTAAGGAGACGTCCAGGCTAGGAGTTTTTGAGTGTATAGATAAGCCTCTCAACCAGGGTGCTTCTTGATTCCTGAGGGGTGCCTCAAAACTTTTGGACAGCATCATGCCATTCCATGGTGTAGGCAGGCCGGCCAGCCGGCACCATGGACACAATTCTAACCAATACCAAGAAATGTTAAATTAGAAGTGCCTCTTTACACTTCATATCAAGCCCATCCTAATGGGCCAGTTAGCACCCTGGACTTATACCATTTCCTTTCTAACCCTCCCTACCACCCCACCTATATCCATTCCTCAACTTCCCCCCACTCTTTCAACCTCCTTTTCTTTCGCTCCTATTCATTTGCCCCAGAAGGAGAGATAAGGTTCGGGAAAGACATCAGACATGCTGGTTCGTTTTGGTATAGTTTCCCCTTACTGTTTGTTCTTCTTTCACTTTCTCATGTGAACAGGTTACAGTGCGAATGTCATATTTCATTGAAACTGTTATACTTTATTGAGAATGATTAAAAAACAAATTAAAAAAAGAAGAAGTTTTGAAAAGAAAAAAAAAAGTACCACTTCCTTATTATAATCTGAATGAGCCGCCTCTCATGTGAACTTGCCTTCACAAGACTTATTTTGTAGAAGAAGTACCATCATCATATCGAAGGTTATAATACAGCTGGACCAAAAATGAGTATTTTTCTGATTACTACCCATGCAATGCACCCCATATAATCGCTAGCCTCCTCACACAAAGCGCTGACCACCTTCTCCAACCAGAGGTATCCCTAGACTTTTCACCACCCTTAGGGGTGCTAGCTGGTGGTGCATGTTGGAGGGGGTATATGGTGGTCTTGGTGAATGGGTGAAGGGGGGGTCCTGGGAGTGCATGTTACCATGGGGTCCGACTCTGTCCGGCATCCATACATCTTATCCCTTGCAGTGGGGCTACCCATGCACTGCAAGAGCTGACTGCTTGTTTTGGTCTAGGGGCTTAAAGAAGACATACTCACCTGATCTTCAATTCCACCTGACAGCTAGACCGTTCCCCACAGCCTCTTCTTTTCTATGCTCCGGCGATAGTCATCACTTCTACTGCAGGTCTATTCACCTGCATTAGATGAGAGGACAACGAAAGACATACCACAGCCAGAGCTGAGGGAGGAGAGAGATGAGCGCTGACTGCTGCAGGACCGAGGATCAGGCGAGTATACCTTCTGTATTCCAGCCCCTAGACCAAAACAAGCAGGTAACGCCCACGGCGCAGGGTAGCGCTACTGCAAGGGTTAATTTTACTTAGTAGCGGTTAGTGCAATTCATAAATCCCAGCAATCATGACTAATAAACTTTGTCAATCTCCATAGTTGGGGCAGTTCTGCATTTATTTCCTATTCAGGAGAGTCTTAATTTCATGCTAAGTTACAGATTTAGCCAAACCCCAGTAAACTATAAATGGATTTGATCATTTCTGCCTTTCATGCTCCATACTAATGTTTCGTTTCCATAATGATGATGAAGAGGCCGAGGTGTACAAATATATATGCTGCATTATTCATTGAAACATTACGAAAGCAAAACTTCCACAACCATTAAAAATCTGATCCATAGAAGCGAGATAAAAAAATAATAAAAAAAGAAGATATGCGTTTTCTGGAAGTGGGACAAACCTAGAAATGTCACCTCACTGCAACATGGATTGGAAGTGGTGACAAACAATCTTACAGTCTGTTAGGTGTTTGAAGCTGCCCAGGGACCCGACGGGAAGACGTGTGAAATGATAAGTGCGTCAAAAGGTTCGTGCTTAAAAATATCTACAGTTACTGTGAACAAAAAGGAGGCAGGTGGGAAGAGAACACGTACCGAGACCAGATGTGTTAATGGCTTTTACTGACTTCTTCATCTTGTAGAGAACCGTGCGATCGACATCAAGGGCCTGTGACAAAAAGAAAAAGTCCAATCGTTAGCAAAGCCCCCACAGGGCACATTAAACGCTCAATACATTTAAAAGGCAAAGAAGATATTTCTTAAATTTCAGTTTTGTGAAAGGCTCCAGAAATCTGAAATATCACCGTATATTAGTATTTGCAGCACAGCCAAGTGTAACCTAAATTGGCAATGATTTAAAGGGGAATCCCACACTGAAACCAGCACGTGGCACCTTACTTTCGGGGTAGGTCTTATTTTTAAAAAAATTTACAACAATCCAAAGTTAATGCAAATCCAAAATGCCAAAAGTTAAGAATAGGGTGATCAGGGCAATCAGAGGTGCCGTACCTTTCCAAGAGCAATTTGGTAACCAGAATGGGCGAAGCGCGCTTCCGTATCGATTCCTCACAGGCTGAGTGCATTTGGTATCACTCCTCCTGTGACAGAAGCCGGCACTATAGAGGAAGCATCGGCTTGTGCTGCTCTGCTCCCTCCGCCTCACTTCCTCTAGCGCTGGAATCGATTGGAACCGCTGATTCTCTCCGCGGCTCTTCAAGTTCCCCCTTATGCCATACCCATATACTGAGACGCCACAGTATGCCATCCCCCTTATGCCCCCATATACTGAGACGCCACAGTATGCCGCGGGCTACTGCTCGCGATATACTGAGACGCAGCAGCTGAAGCGGATCCCGACAATTATGTCTGGATCCGCCCCGCTGCGTTGAGTGACAGCTGGCTCTGCCTATCTAGAGGCAGTGAGCGAACACCGCTATGTGTTCACTCACCTCCCGATCTACTGAGCCGACCTGTGACAGTCTCATTGTCACAGGTCAGCTAGAACTATGGAGGTAAGTGAAAAGCACTCACCTCATAGTTCTCCTTTAAGGTGACACTAAACTCAAAAGCTAAATTCTAACAATACATTCAAGTACCTTAACAAAAGTGTATCCTATTTGTGTATCACTCGGCTGTAGATCCTCAAATCATCTTTGAATTGGTGCTGACACTGTCCTTCCTTCTAGAGGGTGACTACATTTGTTCCCCATGATCCCTGTGTGTGTTGTCAAGTAGTCACCGCTCCAAGCTCACTCCTGTGATGGACTACAATCTCAATACAAATTAGAAAACTAAAACGTGAGATTGTAGTCCATCACAGGAGCGAACTTGGAGCGTTGACTACTTGATAACACACACAGAGACCATGGGGAACAAAAGTAGCCACCCTCCAGAAGGAAGGACAGTGTCAGCACCAATTCAGAGATGATTTGAGGATCTACAGCCGAGAGATACACAAATAAGATACATTCTTGTTAATAGTTAAAAGGTACTTGAATGCATTATTAGGATTTAACTCCTGAGTTTAGGGTCACTTTTAAGAGGGAGAACAAACAGGCGATATCAGCCCCCAGCCTCCAACAAAAACTAAAACCTCCCTTTAAAAGGTAGACTAAAATGTTAATGTATTTCGGTGGAGGAGGCAACCAGTCGAAGATGCTGTGGTCAGCAGTGTAATTATAGTTAGCACAGAAAGATAAATCAATAAAACACTTTCAATTAGCTCTGTGGTAGGAAACCACTTAAGGGGTTGAGACATATTTATTTACAGCAGAATTCCTGTGAATATTGAAAGAAGGTTTTAGGACATTTCACAGCTATACTTTATGTAGGACGGAGAAATCTGACCTGGAAGAATCCGGCGCGACGTACACAGAATAAAATGACACTTTATGGCAATTATATGTGCATTAAATGGCCTGTCAAATTGGGGGTGCAGAACAAGTATGCCAAATCAGACTGATTTGGCATACTTGTTCCGCACCCCCGATTTTTCATGCTCTGCACCCCCGATTTCTCATGCAATTGACCCTATATCCAGGGTTGCAGCGGTTCCAAAAAAATCGGGGGTGCAGAACAAATATGCTGAAATCAGACTGATTTGGCATACTTGTTCGGCACCCCCGATTTCTCATGCAATTGACCCTATATCCAGGGTTGCAGTGGTTCCAAAAAAATCGGGGGTGCAGAACAAGTATGCCAAATCAATCTGATTCGGCATATTTGTTCTGCACCCCCGATTTTTTGGAACCACTGCAACCCTGGATATAGGGTCAATTGCATGAACATTGACAGACATATCCTCAGGCCCATAGGCCATTGCTTTACTATCTGTGTTACCCATGGATCATGTTTGGTCATATGGCAAAAAACTTAAATAAATGAAGCTTGTGCTATCTTAAAAAAGGACTGGTGTGCTGGTGACATTTCTACAATTTTGATGACATTCGCGGCGCCATCCGCAGTCACTGCGAGCACCCCCCACTACAAGGGACATATCGGTAAGGAGTGCGACAAGGATAGTACTTATTGTCTGATTTGGCATACTTGTTCTGCACCCCCGATTTTTCGGAATGTGGTAAAAAACGCGTGAAAAAACGTGCTGCACGCATAGCACCGCGTCTGCACCAGAAAATGGCTGTGAACAAGCCCTTGAGGGGTTTAATTTATTGTTTTGAAATAACGTAGCATTGGTCATGTTAATAATTAGATGGGTGAGACACTCAGGTAGACTGTGTTGGGAAAGTCTGGTGTGCAGAAATCACCTGCTAAGAATTAGGTGTTCCCAAAGCATCGGGTTTCAGGCAACTACTGTAGAGGATATTCCACAAGGATTTGGTCTGGCATAATCAAGCATTAATAGAATCAAAATCCCACAATACTGGAATAATGAAGAATTACTAGAATACAAATGCTGGACTTAACAAACATTACTAGAATAAAAAAAAAATCCTGGAATAATCAAGAATTACAGTAAAATATGCTGGAATAATCTACTGGAATAAGTGGAATCTAGAATTACTGTACTAAAAAATATAAAAATGGTGCAATAATCAAGAATTACTAAATAAAGTTGACCTACACAAAAAAAAAAAAAAAATTGCAGTTGTAAAATATGACAGGTTGCTATATAGTAGTAGTGTCCTGGTTTTTCTTACATACTTCATCCTGATTAATTCCTATGACTACACTATACATGTCTGAACATGACCCACATATTTTCAGGCGAGTTTTCCTTCGTTAAAGTATTTTCTAGTGAACCCCTCCCGCGATTCCAGAGAATGGGTATGCCTGAGGCTTTCCAGCTGACTGAAAACTGTAAGGCTGCCTTAACATACATGTGCACTGCAAGATTGCTCACTTTCCCACACATTACTATACACAAGTACACTATATTGCCAAAAGTATTGGGATAACCCTCCAAATCATTGGATTCAGGTGTTCCAATCACCTCCATGGCCTCAGGTGTGTAACATCAAGCACCTCGGCATGCAGACGCTTTTACAAACATTTGTGAAGGAATGGGGTCGCTCTCAGGAGCTCAGTGAATTGAAGCGTGGTACCGCGATAGGTTGCCACTGGACTCTAGAGAAGTGGAGACGTGTTCTCGGGAGTGACGAATCACGCTTCTCTGTCTGGCAATCCGATGGACATGTTTGGGTTTGGCGGTTGCCAGGAGAACGGTACTTTCCTGACTGCATTGTGCCAAGTGTAAAGTTTGGTGGAGAGGGGATTATGGTGTGAGGTTGTTTTTCAGGGGTTGGGCTTGGCCCCTTAGTTCCAGTGAAGGAAACTCCTAAGATAACAGCATACCAAGACATTTTGGACAATTTCATGCTCCCAACTTTGTGGGAACAGTTTGGGGATGGCCCCTTCCTGTTCCAACATGACTGTGCACACAATAAAAGACATGGATGAGCAAGTTTGGGGTGGAGGAACATGACTGGCCTGCACAGACTCCTGACCTCAACCCGATAGAACACCTTTGGGATGAATTAGAGTGGAGACCACAAGCCCGGCCTTCTCATCCAACATCAGTACCTGACCTCACAATTGTGCTTCTGGAAGAATGGTCAAACATTCCCATAGACACACTCCTAAACCTTGTGGACGCCTTCCCAGAAGAGTTGAAGCTGTTATAGCTGCAAAGGGTGGGCCAACTCAATATTGAACTAAGAATTAAAGTTCATGTGCTTGCAAAGGCAGGCGTCCCAATACTTTTAGCAATATAGTGTATAAGCATGGTGGCAACAGCACCACAAAGTACATATACAGTAAAAAATATATAAGCACCTCTGCTATAGTGTTCCGCAATGCACAAATGTGAATACTCTGCTCATTGTGTTGACAAAATGTTGCAGGTGCGTTTATCAGCATGCTGAGGTGCACTGAAAGCCCATTCAAAATAAATGTGCTGCCTTAATGCAACACATCTCAATGCACAAAAAGCATGTGTTAATGCACATCGCAAAATAAATGGGCCCTAAGACTATAAAACGCATCAGATACCATTCCAATTACAGTCTTAGTAATACCCTGAAATGGTTGTAATTCCCCAGGAGGGAACATCATTACAAAACATGAAGCCTAGGGTGCAGAAATCCTTAGCTGTACCAGAGCTGGAGGGTCACGTGTACCTGTGCAGCTGAAAAGAACCAAAAACACAGAGCTCGGGAGGGTCACCTGGAGGCCAGCCTGCTATGAGACTGGACAATGCTATAAAGAGCCTATAGTAAAATGAGAAGGGTGCAGGCAGGATTCCAGAGCGCAGTGCCAGGCACAACCTGGATACAAATTAACATAACCACAGAAAAACATTTCCTGCCATATGTCAACTTCTTACACTTCTGCCTATTTTATGGGACCTTTTCATTTCTACTTTTACTGCAACTTCAGGAGGGAAAACTAGACAGTGAGCATATGGGAAGTGTTAAAGAGATCAACGGGAACGGAGTTTTACAGAAGAAAATTGTATCTAATATATTTCCATTGCAAATAACTCAAATAAGTGGTATCAAAATGATGTTCTCAGGACATTATCTTAACTGTGCTGTTAAAAGATTGCACCATAACTACAGACAAAGACGGAGAATAAGGAAGGTAGCTCACCTTTCGGGCTAGTTCACACCATATGCAGTTGTGAAGCAGTCCGTTCAGTTTGGCAGCTGC